TTTCCCTTACTCCCCTTCCTTTGCCTAGCCCCACCATGGGCCCCTTCCTCTCCTTTTTATTCTCACCCGACGGTCGTTTCTGGGTCCCCATTTTAGTTCACCTCCTCGTCACCTCCACCCTCCTCCTCCTCATCTTCTTTGCACCCCCACCATTTCTGATGTCACCACTTCCTATCCGCTTCCGTCGCCGATCCGTTGACTACCACGTGCCACTGCTGATATCAGCAAAGCCCCGGCGGCCGGTCCAAATAGGGCAACAGGTCCATCTTCATGACGTCGATCTGCCATCATATACTATCAAAACATTGGTCGCTCGTCTTGCCTGGTTGGAGCGTAGGTGGGTAGTTTTTGAGCTGGAGAAGGTTCATCCCCTTGCGTCGCCCATGTTCATCGCTGTCCCATTCACTTGGGTACACTTATCATTTGTCCATCGTCTTCGCTACAGCTACACCTGGGACTCACTTGTTCCAAATTGGAACTACTCCTCTCCCTCCCTCGTTTGATCAGGTGGTCCAACACAACCAGTCCATTGGTAAGGCCATGGAACTGTCAGATTTGGACTAGGTGGTGGACCGGTGGCTCCAGTTTCTTTTTTTTCAGCAGAACATTCATTTACAGTGCGATTATTTTTGATTTTTGAATCATTTTTATGGACACATTTTTTTAGAATGCCTGACTGACAATAAAGGAACTGTGTTGATACTGATAGCGTTTTGCCTTGCCCTTTTTTACTGCATCTTCCCATGACATCATGATCTTCCTGCTCTCTTTTTGCTATTGGACTTTGCTTTATGGCTGTACAAACCTGTGACATTACTCACAGCATTTATTGTTCTATCCCTTTCTTTTCTTTTTTTGACAATCTTATCCTGTACTACCTACGCAGGATTCGTCAGCGTACATTCCTTCCTTCATATTCTTTCTCATTCTTTTTGCACAGCTATACTGTGCATAGCCTACTTCTCTTTTACTATATAAACCCCTGTATTTTACCTTGTAAAAACAACAACAAGAAATCCAATCCAGACTTCTTCTCTACTCTCAAGTTCACTACTCTGCTACTTGTGATCCAGTGTGGTCACAACACTTCCCACTTTTACCACTGTTAACTGCTGTCATCGTCACTTCCCACTTTTGAAGTCATTGTCATCCCTTTCGATTAGAGTCCTTCTGAGCACTACAGTTTGTGCGTCAGGAGCCTGCTATCACTGGGAACCTCGTCACCTCGTCATCCTCGTCGTTCTCAAACCTACCTTGTGCTACGATTAGCAAGGTAGTGCTCATCTATACTCGTCACAAAGCCCCTATCCTTCTATAAATTCAACCATCCCTCCTCCTCAAAACCCACACTCATACACCTCTGGGTTTTACTTTGAAGGATTTTTATACGTACCACCCCACGAACAACCAGACCACTTCACTGTTCTAGGAGGCAAAGCCCATAAACAAGTTCTGTGGAATCTGGGAGGATTGTGTGTTAGTTTGTTTTGTGTGTGGTTTTCTAACAGCAGTTCTCATCATCGACAACGCCAATTGGAGAGCTCTATTACCCAGACTCTTCAAACCATTTCTACTTTTTTTGAGAGCTACTTCGGGAAAACCATCCTCCTTAGCCTTCAGGGGTGACCTTCCATGTTCTGACCCATTTTGTGTCGGTAAAACACAATCTGTTATGTGCTTATTCGGGGACTGTAAGTCTTCCTGATAACTATATTTTATTATTCATTACAATATTTCCAATCACAGACTGTGAGACTCAAGAGCTACACTTTTGCGCATGTGTCACTCTTCTACAGAGGCTTGTAGCTGATAGATCATTTCCAACGTCACCTACTCAACCTCGTATGGCCATCTCTATCCACCTTCTTCAATTTTACAGTTCCCTTTTGAACATTCTGGGGATGCAGTTACTGCGTTAGCTGGGGCTCTGAGGACCTTTTATACACAAAGAGGATGGGAAGTGTAAAGTATTAAGAACAAAGCTTGAAGAAAGTGTCTAGCCACTTGCTGAGAGCAATCTGTTAGTTTTGGTGATTCTGCACCTAGTTGTGCTACCTCTATATTTTCATTTCTTTCTTTATCTATTGCTCTACCATTCAGTATTGATTATGTTCTCTATCATTCCGCCTTTGTGGCTCCTTTGTTTACCTTTGTTTACAAAACATCGGACAGTACTGCAGAGTCCAATGCTTCCTATTCTCTAGTTACTCACATTGGACTCTAGGTACTGTATACCTGTCATACTCTCTAATAATACAGTTACTCACATTGGACTCTAGTTCCAGTCCCTGATAGCTCTCAGCAAGTGGTTAGACACTTCCTTTAAGCTTTGTTCTTAACAGAATAGGTAAGGCTTTTATAGCTAACCATCTATCCCTCAGACTGAAAGAGGAATAAGAGGAAAGTGGTCTGAGGGGAAAATCAACCAATAAGAAAAAGGATAACTATCGTATGACTTTGAAGATTAATCAGTAGGTGAGAAAGTATACTCATAATAAGTGTTGTCACGCATGTCCAGGAACCGTATCCTCATGATAAGGTATGATCCTGACTAAAGCATCTATTAGTATCTTCAGGCACCGATGGGACTTGGAGCTGGTTGGCGAGATGCTTACCACCAGTCCTTACCCATTGTGCTGGCTGGCTGGGAGCAATGCCCAGTCTCTGATCTGTGATACAAAGTGGTAACAATGATTAAGAAAGCCTGTGAGGGCTATGAGAAGCAGGATAGCAAAAGATACCTCTAGCCCTAGAGCCAGAGGTGTAACAGGGAAAGCGCTCGAGAACCAAGACATGGAGTGAGAAGATAAGAAAATAATAAATGGTCCTTACATTAATATGCTTTTGCATAGCTGATCAATCACTTCATTTATCGGATTCTTTGCCTGCCTGCTGTTCCAATGACCATCTCTCATCAGTGTTGGTCTGCACACCCTCTCCAGGTTGGTGGACTCGGAAGTCATATTTTTATATTTGGGTACTGACATTCTTTAAGCTTGAGCCAGTCCAGAATAATGTGTATGATTGTGGGTTATGGATATTAGCGTGTATTTCAGCCATCTTCCGGGGGTGCAATACTATAGGTCTTACAGAAGCTGACATGTCCCATTTTTGCTGTTACCTACTCTGCCAAGTCTTGAATCTGACATCCCACAATGTCTGATTTGCTTTATCTTTCAAATATAATAAATACTTCATTTTCTTGTCGTTGAAATGATAGTTGTGTGCTTAACCTTGATAAACTATGATTGATAAAAGTGTATACATTATAAATCTGAGACAAACACACGAACAAAGGTGGAGTTTGGAATAACTTCAATGACCGTCTCTTGTGTTTCCTTGGAGCAACTTCAATTTTGTCAGTTCTGCAACAAAGCAGGACAATGAGAGCTTAACCGTCTCTCAGAACTCAAGGCTTGTGTTTCCTTGGTGTATCTTGACCTCTGCAAGTTCTGCAACAGAGTAAGACAGTGAGAGCTTTGGGCACCTCCTGGAGCATGGGAACATGTATAATGCCACTAGTCTGACCTATCCGGTCATCAAGCCTTAACTTTTCAAGTCCCTCAATTCAACACTTTCTAATTCATGATATTTACAGCCGCTTGAAAACTATTCTGTATGTGAGTGGTACTATATATTGCTACAAAGTGTACTAATAGTAATATGCATTGCCAGTGATATGCCCACGCATTAGACCTTGATGATTTACCTTTGTATAATGATTAAAAGTCAAGTTCTAAGCTAAAAGAGCTATTGTAAGTCAGGTATGGGTGGATAATGTCGGTAATCAATGCTAGTATTTTGGTTCACTTGGTATTCTTGCTAAAAAGTTGTGTTTTCTCAAATTCCAGACATCCAAGACGGTGTTGAGGCATTCAGATAGGCTTTTGACTATTGCTGGCATACAAATTTGAATAAAGGTGATATTGGTTGCACTTAGTATTATCATATATTACTTCTGATCACCTTACAAGTATTGTACTAGTTGCAACCACTAGCTTTAAGCACAATTGCCTACTAATTGAACTCAAAGAGTGGTTTCAAGATCCTGTAGCTCGTGAGTATATATATCTTATATTTTATGAATATTACAGCTTACAGCCAATGACAGGATCCAATAACTATTCCTATTGATTGCTGATGTCAAAACCTATGTGTGCAAGTGTAGAAAGCTTCTAATTGTTTTACAAGATTTATCAACTATTAGTACTTGCATCAAGTTCATACCCTACTGATTAAACACAAAAAGGTCACGACATTGTAAAACTCATATAGGTCAGTGTATCTTTATGTTCTATGAATGCTTATGGCTTACAATTATCTTCAAAACATTACCGCCTATGTCGTTGATTGCTGCCTCTGTCAATCAGTTTGGTCTCATCATGGGATCAACACGTCAATATTGTATTAACTTAGCAGATTACTCTTTCAGATGTTGTCACAAAACTCTATGTAAGTCAAGATTGGATTGTACTTCATGTATCCTTTTTTGACGCTCTCTTAGAAATCTAAGTATTATCAAAGCACAACACTGTTGAGAGACTATACAGCACCAAACCTTTTTTTGTGTGCCTTTCTCTTTCCTGCCCACCACATTTCTCTACTGTTCAATATTCAATACTGGAGTCTTTTTTCTATTCCGTTTGAAAAATAGTTAAGGTTCCCAAATGTACTCCCCCCTTAGAGCAAACTTACAACTCTACTTTCCTACAGATATAATGCTTTTATGCTCAAGGAAAGATGCTGCTGGTACGGACCCAGCATCACCTGCTGGACCGCATAAAAGCAAAGGCAGCAGCATAACCACCGAGGAACAAAAGTCACCCTCTGTGGCTCCTCCCGTTCCTCACATCCCTTGATGTGTCTCTCAAGACAGTTTTTACATCTCCTCCATGTACACTGCCTCCTGCCCAGCCATCTAAGCAAACACCAACTGCTGAGGGGCACCAGGAGTATCCAATCAGCAGGGACAAATCACTGCTTGAAGATGAATATATCACATGTCAGAGACCAACATCAAGGTTTTTGACGAGGTCAACAAAGAATATAATGACAAAAACAAACCTCCACCAGAGCTTGCAAATAAAACATCCCAGTTCTCTTGTTTGAAATCACAATTTCAATTTGTCCCCAGCTCTTCTCCGTCATCTATTGCCCTACAAGGCCCAAGTACCAGCCATAACAGCACTACAGAGCCACTCTCAGGGCCTGCTGTGCCTCCAGTTCAGAAGACATTGTCCAGCATTGATAATGATCCTTCTGTGTCTGGGCGCATGGCAAATGCTGTCTGGGAGAAGATTACCAAGGACCTGCAGCAAGTAGACAAGTTAATCTGAACCATTGCAGAGGAAAATGATGTCAAAACACAGCAAGTGGTCACAATTTATATCTCAAGGGATTCCTGTCAAACAGTTGCACCAAATTACTGGGGAGTCTACCAAATGTACTTCCAGGAGAACACTGAACAAGAGTGCAGGGCCTCCTTCCCCCAGGCTCAAAAGTTATTGCCAATCATTCCACAACTCAAGTTTCAGAATATTACCGTTTATTCAAAGAGAAGTACCCAGACAAGTATACTAGAATTTTATCTACATGGCTACAAATAAACTCCGTCATGGAAGGAGACAAAACAGTGGGGAGCCGTAAGCATGTTTTTGTTAGTTTT